ATGGTTAAAGAATAACAAAGTTAATGTTTTGGATTGGCTGAGTCAAAGTCCGGACTTTAATGCAGTTGTCGTTGTGCAGGACTGATCAGCAGCTACAAGAAACATTTGTTATTGCTGCAAAAGGGGGTCACGGCGGATACTGAACGCAAAGATTCACACAGTTTTGCCACTCGCAGATATGCAACACTGGATTATTTTTCTCAATAAATAAATGACAAAGTATACGTTTTTGTCTCATTTGTTTGATTGGATTCTCTTTGTTTACTTTCAGTACTTCTGTGAAAATCTGATGATCTTTTCGGTCATTTATGCAGAAATATAGAAAATTCTAAAGGTTTCACAAACTTTCAAGCAGCACTGTATATATAATGAAAGTAAATTGAAAGGTTAAAAACTACTCCAAGCAAGCTGCCACATGGTTTATTTGTTGTTGTTGTTGTTGTTGTTAATACAGTTCATTCATTAATTTCTGCTAGATAAAACATGAACTCTTTTGTGTTCCATAACTATCTTTTTTATTTTTAAAGATATGCATCCGCACAAGAAATTGACAAAAATAAACCTACCCCGAGAAATATGCACATGTCTATTATGCAGTATGTCACACTTTATTGTAAGGTCCAATTCTCTATATTAACTAACTATTAAGCAACTTTTACATCAATAAACTCCTAAGCTGCTGCTTATTAATAGTTATTAAGGTAGTTGTTGAGTTTAGGTGTGGGATCTAAAATATGCCCATGCAGAATAAGGCATTAATATGTGCTTAGTAAATACTAATAAACAACCAATATGCTAGTAATATGTATGTAAGTTAATAATGAGAATTGGTGCTTAAAATAAAGTGACCAAATATTGATTGCATAAAAAGTGTGACAACTTGCCCCTATTAAAATACTTTCAAATTGTACTAACTAGGACAGTGTGCAAGTCATACTTCATTATATAGCTACTCTACGCGAATGTAGCTACACAGAGTGTAATGTAAAGTCCACAGACAGTAGAGAGTGATCGGAATATGTGAGTTGAATAGACCTGTAGCGGAACTCCGTACATCATAAAATCATTAGAAATCGCACACTTACCGCTTTATATGGCAGTAGGATTTAAACGATCGAATAACAAATAACAACAGCGCTCATCAGCCGAGCGCAGCAGCACTGGTGACAGACGAGACCGCAGTGGGAAGGTGAGACTATCCCGCACAACTTCTCCAGTCACCGCAATGCTGTGAGAAGATCCTTGCAGAGCCGGAGTCAATGACACACTGATGCTGCTTCAGCTCCTGTACACACGCCGAAGTCCGGAGAGACTCACGCCTGCATCACACACACACACACACACACACACACACACACATTCGAGCCGATGACACGCGTCACGAGAGCTGTCCTCAACTGTTGAATAAAAGCAGCATTATGCGTCTGGGCACAGATCTGATGTGCACCGCATGTGGTGATGATGATGATGATGGTGAAAGTGTCCCACTGGTGGGGAGGTTCGTTTATTCATACATAACGTGGTTCAAGTAGCCTACTGTATGGATGTACGCAATATTAGTCTCCCCAGAGCCTTTTATCAATTTATTCAGGAATTCTTTTTTTTTTAATGCATTTTAAACAGTGACATCATTTATCGTCATTTCTTACAAAACATTTTTAAAATAATGTATTATATATATAAACTTTTGTCAATATGGTGTAACCATGCAGAAAGCCATTTGCGACATGAAAATCAGACATACTGTATATAGCCTATATTTTGGCATAGTATGTTATTATGTCATATATATTATATTATATATAAAGTACGCAGTCTCTTAAAATTATTAGATTATTTGACCTTTTATGACATTTCAAGTTCAGTTTCAAATGAAATATTTCACTACTGTCCATGATCCAAACATTCAAGATCTTTTTTTCTATTTGATGTTTTTTTAAGGGTTGAGGACATATTTAAAATGAAATATGTTTTGATTAATTGAAAACTTTGAGCAGAGATGATCTACCTATCTATCTATCTATCTATCTATCTATCTATCTATCTATCTATCTATCTATCTATCTATCATCTA